ATTTTTTTTCTAATTGGCTCTTATTTCCACTAAGTTTTTTTTTTTTTTTTTTTGAGACAGAGTCTCGCTTTCTTGCCTAGGCTAGAGTGAGTGCCATGGCGTCAGCCTAGCTCATAGCAACCTCAAACTCCTGGGCTCAAGCAATCCTCCTGCCTCAGCCTCCCGAGTAGCTGGGACTACAGGCACGAGCCACCATGCCCGGCTGATTTTTATATTATATATATTAGTTGGCCAATTAGTTTCTTTCTATTTTTATGGTAGAGACGGGGTCTCGCTCAGGCTGGTTTTGAACTCCTGACCTTGAGCAATCCGCCCGCCTCGGCCTCCCAGAGTGCTAGGATTATAGGCGTGAGCCACCGCGCCCGGCCTCCACTAAGTTTTAATTGTGACTTTGGGAGAGTTACTTAACCTTTTGAAGTCTTATTTTCCTCACTAAAACATATACTTTCTGGGGTAGCTGTTAAGACTTTTGAATAATGCCTGGTGCATAATGAAGGTTCACTGTTACTATTTTTGAATATCAACATTGTGGTATATGAATAATGTATTCTAAATATTTCTTATTAAATTTCTCTCTGTTAAGAAGGGGATTTTTAAAAAATATATAAAATTTTCTCCAATTACATGGTTTGCATATTTCTTCTCCCTATACAGTGCCATACCAACTTCTAAATGTCCCCTGGCTGGGTGCAGTGGCTCACACCTGTAATCCTAGCACTCTGGGAGGCCAAGGCAGGCAGATCGTGCTAGGTCAGGAGTTCAAAATCAGCCTGAGCAAGAGTGAGACCCAGTCTCTACTATAAATAGAAAGAAATCAATCGGCCAACTAAAAATATATATAGAAAAAATTAGCCAGGCATGGTGGCGTGTGCCTGTATTCCCAGCTACTCAGGGGGCTGAGGCAGCAGGATTGCTTGAGCCCAGGAGTTTGAGGTTGCTGTGAGCTAGGCTAATGCCATGGCACTCTAGCCCAGGCAACAAAATGAGACTCTGTCTCAAAAAAAAAGACTTTAAAAAAAAATAAACATTCCCTTCTCCCCTATTTCCAGTTGCAGAGGCTTACTCAACTCTCCAACTGGGTATACAAATAGACCTATGTTCAGGCAGAGCTTTTACAACAATCAGTCAGGCTTTTACCTAATTACTCTTCAGAGGATAAAGGTAGGTTCATGATGTTCACTTCTATTAGAGATCCTAGTTATGACATCTATAGCTGAGTGATTAAGTTCTTGGGATCAACTGTGAGAAACAGTTTAAGCTCTCCTTTACCCTTGTCATTTCATCCTAAAAAAAAAAAAAAGCACACACTTTTTCTAACAACTTATAAAGAGGCTAAACTTTTCTTCAATTGTTTTCAGAGGCTCCTAATTCTGCTCCTTAGGACCTCTTTTAGCCATACCCTGTTCCTTCCCGACTCCCATGTCCCTTTCACAGAAACAATAGCATTATCTCAGAGGGCATATTTCCCAGTTCTTGTCTACACTGCCAATGCATATATCCAATTTACTCATAAAATTATTATACTTCAGGTATAATAATAACTAGTGGAATCAAAACCAACTTGCATCTATGTCACTGCATCTTATAACTTCAAAAACCTTGTTTCCAGTAAGACCTGGAAGAAAGTCATGAAGTCAAACATAGTAATTAAGGTTTATGTCAGCTAACCAAGAAAAACCAAATGAACCTATTAATAAAATTCAAATACGCAGGCTATCAGATGGCACCTGGAAAATAGATATTTTCACTTTATTTGCATATAAAAATTCAAGTTTATAATATATGAAGTAGAATAGGAAACCATTTAGGTCACTTTAAATTTACAAAGGTTAATTTATATCACCAGGTATTCCAAACAGTCTCCCAAAAGCAGAAAATTGAGTATTGTTAATGGCTTTTTAATTATTTGATAGAATGGAATCAGGGAGAAATTTACAGTTGGAATGTTAGCCTACTCTGAACTAAAGATAAAACAAAATTGGAAATAAAACATAATCATGCCTTTAGCCCTGATCATTCCCACCACTTAAAGTACTAAATTTCTTACTGCTCACTGAATATTGCTATCAAGTTCACAACAAAATTCACTTCACCTGAATCTTTTATCTTTCCTTCTAAAACAAAATAGTTAACATACCTCCTCCTCTTCCTGAATTCCCTATTTCTATTAGTTAATGATCTGCCTAGGATCATACCTGACTCTTCTCTTTACATTTATGATTCATTTCAATCTGGTTACCAAAACCTGTCCATTCTTTCTGTCTTCCTAAATCTCTCCTTCATTTATCTGCTCCTTTCTTGGAGGACTATCATCACAACCTAACTAATTTTTTCCAAATCCTCTCCCCTCCAATCTTCCCTTAATAAACCCAAGATAATTCCCATTACAAACTATCAATGGATATTCACCAAATTAAATTCAAGCTGCTTAATTTGATTAATTCTATAATCTGACCTCAATTTTACCTTTCTAACCTTCTTGCTCACTGTTCTCAGACATTTCAGTTCAAAGGGTTATTATTCCTTTATGAGGCTTCAAACTTGCCTATTGCCATTTGAGCTGCATTAACTATAAAGCACTCTTCATTCTTTCTTCTTTAAAACACCATATATCCTTCCAGCTCATATGCTGTCTCTCCTATAGAAATTCACCTACAATTCACTTCATCCTAAATTGCTATACCATCTCTACACAGCACTCCTGTTTATGCATCCTATAATACTTAGCATATCTGATAGATATGCATTTCTATTATGTGTGTTTTCACTTCCCTACTAGATCTTTAAATGATATTCATTACATTAGACTCAAAAGGAATACATTTTAAAACTTTCATTTACAAATATCTTATTAACTTTGTAAAATGAGACACAACTGTGCCTAAATTTTTAAAATAAATTCAGTTATCATGTTTTCTGGATTTGCTAAAAGTAAAGATGCTCCTTTTTCCTAAAGAAATAAACTGAAATGCAAATAGACTAAACTGATATATATATTCATGGCAGTATTACTTGTAACAAAAATCTGGAAATAAATTCCAAAAAAAAGAACACAAATAAATTTTGGGACATCTAAATGATGAAATGTTAAATTATCATTAACAATATCCCTAAACAATATTTTAAAACATGGGAAAATACTTACTAAATTATTATTCAACTATTAAAAAAAGTTGAGATATGAGAACATACTCCCAGTCTGTAATCAGAAACATGTATGAATATAGAAAAGGTTCCAAATAACAACAGTATTATTCTATGCATGACAGCATTATAGTTGATTTTTACTTTCCTATATTTTCCAAGTTCTCTACCAAGAACATGTAATATTTTTATAATTAGAAAACAATTATGAAAAATTAAAAATGTATTATTTCAGAATAAGATGACACCTAGCAAAATAATAAAATGAGGCTAAATTTAGACACTAACAAAAAAGTAACTAAGACATTTTCAAATAATTTGTAAAAAACCAATTACTAAAGGATTCTAGAATGCTTTTTATGGCCAAGAAAAGCTAAACGAAAATTTTGCCATGCTAGAAATGAAGCCAAGAATAAGTCTAAATAAATAAAATATTATGGATTAAACAATAAGTGACCAAAATTCAAGAAATTTTAAGAAATTTTGTTAAAACAAAAATAACTCCAAATAGTTTTTGCATAATTACACACAGCACAGGGTTTTCTTATATATACAGTAACTATCACAATTCATTAAGATTTAAAAATAATTATTGCCTTCTTTTTTTAAGAGAGGGTCTTGCTATGTTGCCCAGGTGGAAGTGCAGTGGCTATCTACAGGCACAACCAATGCATACTACTGCCTTGAACTCCTGGCCCTTAAATGATCGTTCCACCTCAATCTCCTGAGTAGCTGGGACTACAAGCATACACCACCATGTCCTCCAACAATTACTGCCTTTTTAATTCTATCAGCACAACAACAACAACAAAAAAGCAAGGAAGCAGATAAACCATGGGCTCATTAATATGGTTTCTTTATTAATGCTACCCCTTTTTCTACTAACACAATCCTAGCCCAAATAAAACCTTGTAACAACATTTGAGTATATCTCCTCTCTTTGGTTGTCTTTAATATGTACCCAAAGTACCTGATATATTTCACATCCTAAGGAAAACAGAAGTGACTCTGATTTGTTTCTCCTATATTTAAAAAATACATGTGGTTTGTAAGAAACAAGCTTTAACAACAGTGCTACATTTATATGACATATTGGGGACATGGAACTGTAAGAATCCTTACTAAGGAGATGTTGAAAACTATACCACTTAGACTGCCATCTCCAACAGGAATCCTTGGTAACTGCCCAAACTGTGAAACTGAAATCTGCCATACTCCTGATCTTTTAAGGAAAGTATATGGTTCACTTCCAATCATGTAAAAACACTAACATACCAATGAGAAAATCATTGGTTCCAAATCCTTTAAAGAAGCCTCCATTTGTTAAACTGTTCAAATTAAGCATCTACTACTATTATTGTCTTCTGTGGGTTAAGAGTTTTATAAAGCATTCACCAAACCAATGCATCCTAGAGAGAGATGCATGTATCAACATGGCAGGCTTGATACAACATAACCATTATAATTAATCCAAGTTCCAAGGTTAGCCACCAAATCCATTCTGCATGGCAGTTATAATGGATCTTGGATTGTAGTGCAGCAGAGCAGTTAGACAAAAAAGTGGTATAGTGACAATATTAAGTTTTTGTTTGTCTAAATATTCTTCATACCACACAGGGTTACAATGAAGTACCAAAGTGGTATCGCAATGCAAGCATCTGTAGGCCATCAAATAGAATGGCAAGGAAATAATCCATGCATTAGCATTTGATCTGCCTCAAACAAAAGGTATCACTGTAAATAATTCTAAACATAAGCACAATTTAGCAAATAAGGTAGTAGACTGGTAGACTTATACTTTCAGATTCAATTTTTAGCTGTTCACCAGTCACCTGCTATTTTGACAAGTTACTTACCAACTTGTGCTGCCTTTTCTCCGAAAATTTATCCCCTAAGATGAGGATAATTCTTGCAAATTGTGTCACAAGGATTTTGAAAGGAACCATGAGTTATTGTGTAATGCTCTTGAAATTCCTCAGATGTAGGGTCCTACACAAAGTAAAGTATTATTATACATCTCTCTAACAGTAGTCATCTGTTTGCATTATGATTTTTCTTCCCTACCCTTGACATTGTGGTTTTTGGGCACTAACCTTTCTCAAAGTAAAGTGTCCAAAGCAAGCCTTCACTCCTAACCCAAGTAATTATTTTTTTCAAATCTTCCTATCATCCATATCTTTCTCTTCCTTAGAAGGTATTGTGAAAATTAGAAATTATAAAACATAATGAGCTCCTTTGGTTTTATATGCTATGGTTCAGTAAGAAATATGTGGGACAACTGGGTATTTTTAATCAACTCTTAAGTGGATATCTTTATTTCCAATAGTTACATATTTATTTTCCTTTATTACTTTTTAAATTTCCACTCTATTTTACGGAGCAGTTCTTTTATAGATTTATGTGTTATGAACAAAGAGAACAGGTCAGAAAATGAAGCAGCAAGAAAGGCAAGCAAGTAATTATTGTTATGTGACCAAAAAGCTTTTATTGGAGTGACCCAACAGTAGAAATTACTATTTTGGGATATGAGAAACGTAGAAAGAATGCTCATCATCTTTATATTTTCTGTAAAACAGTTGAACATAAACTACAATAAATTTTATCATACTATTAAAATTTTAGCCTGTTACTGGCTTTGCTAATCAAGTCAGTCTTCCATTCAAGAATACACTACACATTTTGAATTTTTTAGTTAGTGTTAGCATTGATATTATGTCTTGAAAACAGAACTCTCGATCTTCTTATACAGTTCTTAAAATGACTTGAGTGTATGCACAAAGGAGAAGAATAATAAAACATGGTGTCTTCATTATATAACCTTAGTTATAAAATAATAATTTTTTAAAGATTTTTTTAACTCTTAGAATTACATTATAATAAAATACTGACAGAAACTAGTTTCCTCCTAGGTGAACAAATATTCCTCTACCTTCTAAATATGGCAAGGGAAATAAATGCTTTGTGGGATAAAGATAAAAACCACAGGATTTAGAGTGGTCTCTTAACATTTGCTAACCTAGTGACTCAGTCTCTTAAATCTAAGTTCAGTTTCTTCATGTGTAAAATAGGGATAGTAACACCTGATCTAGCTACCACACAAGACTGTTATGAGGATTAAATGAGATACTCCATTTGAAAGAATTTTGTAAACCACAAAAAGCTACTTAACAGTCCTTTATGACAGAACTCCACATTATTTACAAATTATGGTCATAAAACTGTTTAGTACTGTTTTTAACATGAAACAAATGGAAATAGATATAGAAACATATATTTAGGACCATGGTCACCAAATTATACTTATGAGTAGATATACAGTAAGTAAAGGATCTTTTTAAGAAAAGTATACTTCCTATAGGTTATCTTAAAATCTTTAGAAGTGAATTAGGAAGTACAAAAATAAAACTAATAATTCATTTAAATGGACTGGTCTAGTATACTGAAAATTAAAGACATTTACTTGTTAGATATGATTAGGAAATTGATACACTAGTTTAAAAATGTATATAGAAAGTTCTTGTGAAGAAAAAATACATGAAAGTGAAATTAGCCATTGATTTCTCCACTTCTGGAAATAATTCAGAAAGAGCTAGTAGTGACAGCAAAGAGCATAAATACAAGAAAACAAAGATAAACATGAGCATAATCTGCACTCTTGGTATTACTATAGTAAAGGAAATCAGTTAAACCTTTGTGATTTCTAAAATGTCCAGAACAGAAATCCTCTTTGAACAGACCATAGGTTTTAATCTATTTACTATACTTTAAGGCCAAGTCCTCCAGTAGGTTATCATGACTCTCAAGAGTAACTTATCCTTAATGAGACAACCTCTTTTTCTTTCATTCTTTATTAGTTATAGAATATTTATGTTTATAAAGCCAATCTATGTAAAGAAACAATTCTTAGTTCTCTCCTTTCTGCATGTTTTCTTTCTGACACATCTTCAAAGCTCTGATGAAGTAAATTATGTTTATTACACTGTCCTAGAAATACAACCAACTCACTCAATTATCAGAAGACTTTCAAACCAATTAAATAAGATTCAACAACTCCTTACCTTCTAATCCAATCCTCGAACTCACAAATTTAAAAAAGGGTTGAGGAAGGGGAACGTTTAAATCATTAAGGAATTATTCCAAATAGAAATAATTTTAGTTAAAAATATGATTAAAATCTATCACTCAAGCATCTTAAGACTGAGGTTAAAAGATGAAGTCCCTATCTGAGCAACTATCTCTCTTTAAACTTCTACTTTCTCCTACCTCTGAAACCTAGGTTCACTTCAATATGGCACTGAACCAGGACTTTTTGATAATAAAAAGCTTTTCTCAGGATCAGGACCCCCTTCTATAAAACTAAGCAATTCTAGCACCAGACTTGTTTTCTGGCTATTTATGTGATAACCGATGGAATTAAACTTAAGCCTTCATTTTCTCCCAGAAATCTTATTTTAATTCTATCCCAAAATGACATTTCCCATCATTTGAATTCCCTAGGCTCAAAGGCACACCATGTCAAATTTCAATTCTCTGCAGTTGTTTTCACTTATGTATACCTTAACTCCCAACCCAGCTTCTAAATTTGTCAAAGACAAAATTGATGCCTTTCATTTTTCTCTTCCACAGACTGTGGTATACCCTGGACAACAATGAGGCAATACTAAAGAGGTATCATAAGTTGGGAAACCCACCCTCTCAACTTTGTATTACCAAATAATGCTTCTTGGATGAATCAATAGGATGATAAAGGTGTCACAATGCAATCATCACAATGTCAACATGACCACGAAGAAACCTATCCTGTCTAGTTAAGTTTCTCAGATTCTCGCCTATAGAATTAGAAGCTGTTCCAGGCACTATAATTATTACACTATTACACAGTGTCTGCTTTTGTCCTGGACACTGAACAGGTATTTAGTAACATTTAAAAATTTTAAATCTTAGTAAACTTCAGCAAACTATATTGACAATTTCTATGTGGTGGCTTTTTACTTTCTCCTTGCCCCACAATCTTTCAAAAATTACTAAAGCTATAGAGAAATATTCAGTTATTTCTATGGGGCATGTTAAGTACAACAATCAGCAGTGGCCCCCAACACCATAACAATCTCAACCTGAGGCAGTACTCTAAGCTAAGCAAAAATAGTAAAGGGTCCATCTGCCTCTAAAACACAGATAACAATTAAATGCATATCAGTAAATTATCATTCATTTCTACCAATATGACCACCTCAATGTCTGAGATTATGAAAATCTGGTTAAGAATCTATAAAATATTTTTTCAGTGGGGCAGAGTACAAGAAAGCTGCCAAGTACCTTGAGTTCTGCCGTAATTAAACCTGTCAATTAAGGCAAAAGGAGATTAAGACCCTAACCACAAAGAAAGAATGAAAACTAATAGTGTTTGCAAGTTAGAGGTTTGGCATGGTAGTGAAATGGTATGAAAGATGGAACATGTCTTAATGCCTGAATATTTTATATCTACATTAATCTCTCAAAAGTAGACTAACAATAAAAACCACTTAAATAATGAACTGATAAACAAAAATAACTGCCACAGAAAATACTTAAGTGCCGTTATTGTTAAAATTAAAAGAAATCATAAGTCGGTATAGTTGAAGTCTTATCTGAATTTGCCAGCTTAAATCATTAACTATGAGTTATCATAATTGAAAACAAAACTCACATAACAATGATATTCCTAAATGTGGTAATATCTGATTTGGAAATATCCATATCCAGGAAAACAGAACATGAAATGTGATTAAATTCCTCAAAATTCTCATTACCCTACAAATTAAATTTTGCTTGTATGGCTACTAGAAAATGAGAATACCTCATATTCACAAAATCTGAATTTAATTGCTAGTGCTACTAGTTGAAAGTAGGAGATTAGGGGAATAAAAGATATTTCCAACTAAACCAAATAGAAGTATATATTTAAAATACTAAGAGGGATAAATAAAAGAATTAAGATATAGTTTAGGCAAGTAAGTCAAAGTAAAAAGACATGGAAAACACAGAGTAAATTATGCATTTAAAATCTGTCCAAGGTGGCTGAACAGAATTTATTAAAGAGAACCTGCAAATCACATACTCTATACCTTTATACTGTACACCAAAGAAGATCTATACACTGCAGGCTTTTTCCTACTGTTTTACATTGCCATGAAATAAGGTTTTACAGTAGAACAAACAAAAAAACACAAAATAAAGTTCTTAGAAGCATGCAAATGTAAAGGATATATTTAACTCCTACTTTGCTTTTAAAGTTTTATAAAAAATATACACTGGGGACTAGAGAAATTATACAATACTTCAAACTTAAAATGACATAATTATTAGAAATAACAAATAAAAACATTTTCAACTTACCCGGTTTCTTTCTGGATTTTTCATGACCTAGCTGTCCTAGATCATTACATCCACATGTGTATACTGTTCCATCATCCAGAACAAATACAGTATGTCTGAGTCCACATCCTACATCTCGGACCTTTTTATGTATAAAAAAGTCACTTTTTCTGGGCTCTAGTACAATTTCTTCATCAATTCCACCCAAACCTAGTTGTCCAAAGGATGCATTTCCCCAGCACAACATGCTTATTATTTTGGTCTTCCAGTTTCAATAAAAAATTCTCTTCTGAAACACTGGAAAGTTGGAGGTACCCTATGTCTGAGGAAACAGAAAAAAGTTAGTATGACTTCAAAGGAAAAAGAATGTATATAATATGCTACATAAGTATTCTGTTTCAAAAACCAACTAGTTCAAAACCAGTTTTATTTTTTTAATGCATCATATAGAAATGTTTGGAAAAACACATCACTCTACGATTCTCTGCAAAATTTAAAACATTAATCATCTTTGACTTTTTATCTTGTGGTAAACTAATGGAAATAATAAGTATCTTGATGAAATTAATCAGATTAATTTTTGCCTTAAATAATATCAACGGGAATAAAAAATAAGACAGCTTTCCACTGCCCAAAAAATAAATTATACACAGTGAAAAATTTATCTAACTACAGAAATATAACCTTGCAACCTCCCTCAAATCCTAGTATAATTAAACCTTCTAATACCTACCTCCACATCAACAGAAAACTGAAGTTCTTATCTGTAACAGAAATAAAACCAATAATGGAAATTTTTAGAAATATCCTACAATTTAAATTACTCTTCCAATTATTCATTCATACTAATAGGCTAGAGAGAAAATTAGGATTCTCTTATCAAGCCATAATCTCAAAACACCACCTCCACTATATCCTTTGTATTATAATAAACCAGTAAACATTTAGAAAAAGAAAAACAGAAAAACAATCACCTCCAAAGATCCTATTTTACAAATCAAAACACTAACATTACAACCTCACTACTAATTTAAAGTTAAATCAAAGTACGTAATTTGGATACAGAAAAAATATGCACTTTAGCAAGAGTTTCCCCAAAATTCAACATTTTATCTTGCGAGTGGTAACTGTGACTAAAAAAATCTCCCCTGGGCAATATATATCTATGTATTCCTCTGAGACAATTATTTGAAGATGAAAACAAAAATTTGCAAATAATCCCAGCACTGCTGATTTTTCAAGAATAGGAATGGGGGCTGGGACACTACCGGCAGTAGTTCGATGGCGAAATCTGTAGAACTTTCCAGTACACTGACTATTTCTTCGCTTGTTAAAAAAGACACAAATAACAGAGTCCACCTCATCTAAACCTACATAGATTTTTAAACACATCGCGTTACTAAATAACTATTACAGGAAGTCAGCCTTATTCTTGTAGTAGTCACTCACACTCCTTACATAGAACCTGCGAAGTTTCAAAACCCAGTTTTCCTACGTTCCGGCTAGTAAGTGCCTAAAGTGTCCCATTCCACAACCCATCCATTAACAGATTTGATTTCATTCTTTTGGGGCATCAGAACTCGATAGCTCCTGAGAATTCTGCATTGTCTCCTATACACACACACACATATATATATATACATTTTTTTTTAATTATGGGAGGACAGGAAACACCCAATATTTTCACGCTCGAGGTTTAACCATTCTTTTCTTTAAAAAGTCAGAAAGCGTCCTCTCGCCAGCAACAGGTAGGGGAATGAGAAGCAGCTTAGCCCGGTCTTTCCCTGAACATGCACCCAGATCAGCTCACTGGGACCGGGGAAGAGAAATCATCTGCACACACCCAACCTCGCGGCCAAGCAGACAACTACGGCAGCCGCCCGCTGGCAGCAGCCGCAGAGGCCGGCGGACGAGGCTTGGCACCCCACGGCCTCAACCCGAGGGAGGCTCTTCCCCAGGGAAGTGCGACATTCCAGCCCCCAGACCAGGAAGCCCGGACCCTAGCCTCGCCCCCCGCCCCTCACCCCCAGGAAGCGCCGAGAAAGCGCCCTGCGCCGGGCTGGCCTGTATCCGCCCAACCAAGCCTGCCCCCCTCCCTAACGCCATCGCACGCCCCCGAACCCACCGGGGGCAACGACTCACCCGGCGCCTCAGAGCAAGGGAAGCCCAAGGCGACAGGGGACGGCCCCTCCCCGGAGAGCGAGGCAGCCGGCTGCTGAGGCAGATCTTCAACTCCTGGGACTCTCCTTCTTCAGCCAGTGGCGGCGAACACCAGCGCTTCTCCGGCGTCTGTGAGGCTGCTCCGCTGCTCCCCTCCCGGCCCCTGTGAAACTTTACCGGGTTCCTCAGAGGAAAGCAGCCGCCACCGCTGTCCAGTGCAGAGACAGCCGTCAGCGACCCGGATGAAGCGGGAGGAGAAGGACTGGAGGCGAGCGGGGCGGAGAGCGCGAGGGGTGGGGAGAGTTGGGGAAGAGACTGGGGAGGAGAAGGGAGAGGGGGAGGTGGCTACGTGAGGGAGGGGGGGAGGGGGTAGCCGGAAGTGAACCGCAGAGCACGCGCGCGAGCCCGCCCACTTCCCGGCTCGCGCGCCTGCGCCAGAATCCTCCCAGGCACATCGGCCCCGGCGCTTGCGCAGTGTGCCGTTTTGCGTTGTTTTAAGAGGGAGACGCCAACTACAGAAGTTGGAGTTTGCGAAGACTAACGAAGAAGGTGTTAACGTGTTTTTAACAACGCCTTGGCGTGCACAGGGCCTTTAAATGAATTAAAAAAAATTTTTTTATTGGTTGTCTTTCTGTTCATGGGTTTTAGTCTTTTTAATATTTTGCTCTCCCTTCTCCTAAGGAGATTTTGAAGTAGCAGGTGAAATTCACAAATGTGGATATAAGGACAGGTGAATATTTTTATGTTACCCCTTAGCTTCAGCTGAAGCTAATCTGAGGGTGTCAGATATATTGATAGCAATGGCTGAATCTACTTGCCATATTAAATGTCAAACCCAGTTCAGGTTCCTGATAAAGTATTGGCTCCCATCACTTTCTGCACTCCCCTGGAAGATAAGCTTAAATTGCTGCGCCTCGTTCGTTCAGAGAAAATTAACGCATATGGCTTCAGTCTCTGCTTCGTAAAAACAAAGTCTGTTTCCTAGTCCAGTGTTAACATAATCTCATAATGTGCAGGACGATGTGGAATAATGCATTTTGGAACTTTTAGATGTTGCTAGAACCTGTGACTTTGGGGTGAATGTTGAGAACCTAGAAGGAATTTCACAATAGGCCACATTTCATTATCGCCAACTGAAAAATATATTTCAGATTAAGAAGTAACTGTGCTAGAATATGTTTAAGTGTGTGTATTCCAACTGTAACAAATTACCACAAATCGGGTGGCTTAAAACAACAAATTTATTGTCTTACAGTTCTGAAGGCCAAAATTCCGAAATTGAGGTGGCGGCAGGCTCATTTCCCTCTTGGGGGTCTCAGAGAGAGAGAATCTTTTCCAAACCTCTCCTAGTTTCTAGAGGTTGCCCGCAATCCTTGGCACTCCTGGTAGAAGCATCACTCTAATTTCTGCCTCCACCTTGACCTGGTGTTTTCCCTGTGTGGCTGTCTCCAAATTTTCCTGTTATAAGGACACCAATCATTGGATTAAGACCCACCCCACCCTCATCCATTATGACCCTATCTTAACATGATTACATCTGCAAAGAATTTATTTCCAGGTAAGATCACAGTCACAGGTACTGGGGGTTAGGACTTTAACATACCTTTTTGGGAGACCAAATTCAACCTGCAATAGTATGTTACAGAAATAAGTGTAAAAATGACAAGATATTTAAGCAAAGAAAGCATAATTTCAACATTATAAGTGGTAGGAATGTTTACAAACATGCTTTATTCTTATTTTGACAGCTTCATTGCTCTTGTAGGGCTTTTGCTTGTTGTCTTTTAACCATAAGGAATTGTTGCCTCAGAATATATCATTAAAAGGGAAGTTATGAAATTCAGGATCTTTAAGATATGCACATGCTGCTACAGCAAACATTAAAACTTGAGTGGCTTAACATAATAAAAGTGTACTTTTTACCTTTTTAACAGCCCAAGTGTTTATTCCTAATGAGTGGAAACTGAGTTCCAGGGCCTTGGGGATGATGGAGGCAAGGGGAGTTTCTTAAAATCCTTATCTGTGAAATGCCATGTGTCACTGCATTAACAAGATAACATTAGCAAGAACCATACACCTAGGCCAGACACAGTGGCTCACGCCTGTAATCCTAGCACTCCCGGAGGCAGGCAGATTGCTCAAGGTCAGGAGTTCGAAACCAACCTGAGCAAGAGCAAGACCCTGTCTTTACTATAAAAAATAGAAAGAAATTAATTGGCCAACTAATATATATAGAAAAAATTAGCCGAGCATGGTGGCGCATGCCTGTAGTCCCAGCTACTCGGGAGACTGAGGCAGCAGGATTGCTGGAGCCCAGGAGTTTGAGGTTGCTGTGAGCTAGGCTGACACCACATCACTCACTCTAGCCTAGGCAACAGAGTGAGATTCTGTCTCAAAAAAAAAAAAAATTTTTTTTTAAATTAAAAAACAAAGTACTGGCCAGGCGCGGTGGCTCACGCCTGTAATCATAGCTCTCTGGGAGGCTGAGGCAGGTGGATTGCTCGAGGTCAGGAGTTCGAAACCAGCCTGAGCAAGAGCGAGACCCTGTCTCTACTATAAATAGAAAGAAATTAATTGGCCAACTAATACATATAGAAAAAATTAGCCGGGCATGGTGGCGCATGCCTGTAGTCACAGCTACTTGGGAGGCTGAGGCAGAAGGATTGCTTGAGCCAGGAGTTTGAGGTTGCTGTGAGCTAGGCTGACGCCACGGCACTCACTCTAGCCTAGGCAACAAAGTGAGACTCTGTCTCAAAAAAAACAAAGTACTATTAATATTTTCTACTATGGAAGGGA